TTAATAATATATTTATATATTTTCAACTACTTAATAGCTTTTAAATAATAAATTATATTACTTTTACTGAATTATATTCTTAAATAATTATTTTAATTTTAATAATAATTTATATTTCATACGACAGATGGCGAAGTATGTTACTATGGTTACGGAAATAAGCACGTGGTCTTTAGAAACGTGTTCTCGTCGATAAATAGCGATTAAATGTTTCTTTTTTTTCAGGTAAATTTTCGATTTAGGACTCTATCAAATAAAATTTTAAAGGTTTTACGTATCTATTTTCGTTTGATCAATAAGAAAAGCGCTTCAAATCACTGTTTATAGAAGGAGTCCTTCTAAAAGGTAATAAAACAAGTAGACCTACTTAAGACTACTCTTACAATAGAAAAGAAAAACAAACAGTTTAGAGGGATACAAAAGAAAATTGCTAACATTTAAAATATCTCTTCCAATTATACTATTAAAAAATCTACAATCCAACAGAAGGTTTGGCATTTTTTAAAAGATCAATGTAGTATCATTTATAGACTACATGCCTAAAATATTCATTCAAAGAAAGATTGAACTTTTAAAAAAGCTTTTAATATATTCACTTTGCATAGAAAGCTACTTACAAATCATACTAAACTGTGACATTCTTTGTTACATTTTTCACATCTTAGTAAATATTTTAAAAATTTATGTCAAATTTTTATAGTATCAAATCCTAAAATCCTTTTCTTCTTTTTACTAAAGAATTTTCTAAATATGTACTAAAATTCTTGTCAAATTTTTTTAAATATCAAAAAAGATATAAGAACGAAAAATCTTAAAAACATCCTTTTATTCTCTTTACAGGAAACATCGAACTTTATTATAATTAATGTCATTATTACTGAAGTTTTAACGGATTTGAATATATTGTTTCATTCGAACGTAAGTAAATAGTCTATATAATATTCAGAATTTGATGTCAGTACTTCAGTAGAACGGTTTGGCGGTAATAAAATTCAGATGGAAAGTCGATAAATGTTTTTTTTATAATGTTAATGACACTCTAATGTATATTTGGGTATCACTTTTACACGCATTCTATCTTTCTAATCGTGAATATCTTTATAGAAATCTCCTATTTAAAGTGTAACATTAACCATATGCACTGACTTAAACTGGCAAATCCAATTTTTCTCATCTTTTTTCCTTTTAAAACACATTAAACATATTTCTCGATTTATTATTACAGTTAAAAGAAAACTAAAAAAAACCTTAGATTAAATGTAGAATTTTTAATGAAATCCACAAACTGTTTTTTGTTATGAAACAATATTTAATTCAGCTTTAAGTTAACTGTTCAGTATTATTACTTAACGTTATCGATTATTATATACTTGCAACGTGTACCTTTTATGTGAATAAATAAATAAATAAAACCTATATTCCAATTATATTTTGAGAGGAAAATAAAAAAAATAATGTTAACCTAATAAACATAAAAAAATTTAATAAACCTCAATTCTCTTAGATTTCTTATGGGAGTTAAATATTTAACTTAGATTTTAGGAAAATAATCAAGTGGAGATTAATAATAATAAAAAAAATACCATAATCTTATTTGAGTTTATTAAGATAAATTATAGGAGATGGCTACTACATATCTTATATAATTAAATAAACATACATTCTTCTCACCATTGCTTTCTTAATATTGAAACATAAGTTTAAGCTTCATTTTAGGTTAAATATTTATTTTTTTTATTCCTAAAAGAAGTTTAAAAAGAAGAAATTTCTTTATAGATTTAACCTCAAATTTTCCTTTTATAACATTTTTTAAAATCTATAACATTTTATTCATTTAGAAATTTAAAAATTCATTTTTTTTATATTTATCTTGTTTTTTTCCCCTGTTATTTTAACGTTTATTTTTCTACTCGTAACCTGGTAAATATAACAGATGTTGGAAATGTGACCACGCCCTCTATTTTGACTACCGAGAACTATTTCGTTTATCGACCCAAAGTACGCTGCATACGAATAAAACTTGTAAGAGAAAAGAAAGATTTTTGAATTATTCAAAGTTAATTTATTATTTTTCTTCTTCTTCTTCCTACGCAAACACATTTTAAAAACATTAAAACTTTAACAATGTTTAAAAGAAGCAATTCTCTCATTAGCGATGATTCTTAGTTCTAGTTTTCAACAGCCTTGTAAGGTTTCTAAATACAAGTTCTAAAACAGTGGCATGCATGGCCAAACAACCATGCATGCCCTTGTATGTTGGGACTTTATGTATGTAGAAATTAATTAGTACTTGATCCCTGTGTTCAGGGGTGTATATTATATACAGATCTCTAAGGTAGTATCTTTATACAAGGTAGTAGGCTTTATATGGTCTACTGCAGACAGCCAATAGAGTATTTTGGAAAATCGCAGCTGGGCAACTTAGTTGCGGCTTCAAATTTACAAGAGTAGAACCTAGGCGCCAACTGTTACAAATATTATTTATTACGTTGGGTTTCTTGAGTATTATTGTATAAATAATAGTACAATTTTTAATGCTGTTTTGTTTTTTTTTAATTTGAGAAAACGTCTGAAATTCTGTCCACACTCATATACAGGTACTAAGGACTAAACATGGCGACGTTTAAGGAAAGTGTCGCCATATTTAGTCAATTTCTTAGATTTACAGTTTTTAATTCTAAATTATTATTAATTTTTATTCAATAATGACTGAAAAATGAATATTTTTTAAAATATAAAACGTAATAACACACAATAATTAAATATAAAACATAACGTCTGGACTAAATATGGCAGAACGGCGACTGAAAGTAGTACTCTATCTATCTAGGGACAATAAATTATAATAATTATATACTGCTATCTGTTGTTTAAAATTTATGAATATGAGTTAATTTAGTTATATTTTTCTCCGAAATTAAATTTTAAAACGTTATTTTCCCCCCTTAAAACGACCAACTTTTATAAATTTTTCTATAAATATATAATGTAAAAAAATTATCGTAAAATGGAAATTTTTAAAGCAAAAATCGAATAAAACCGAAATATATTTTTACGATTTTCTCGACAACAAAATTCAACATTTAAACGATTTAATATTTTATCAATAACCACAAAAAAAATTCACTAAAAATATCATTTTTAAAACATGGTGCCATCTACTACCAACTTTAAGAACTAACAAGAATATATATATTTTTTTTAATCAAAAGAGCAAGTTATATTAATTAAAATTTAAATTAAATTAAGACTCAAACTTACCATTAAACCGGTACAAACAGCAATTCCTCTACCGCAATGCGTGTTTGGTACTATATCACCATAACCAACTGATAAAAAAGTGATAGCAGTCAACCACATGGTGTTCAACAGATTGGCATGTTCAGCATCGTGATACCTAAATATAAAATCAATTTAATATATATATATACTTTTCTATACATAAATTAGGCCATGGCCAATATCCAAGGCCATCTTTGTAAGAGATGGCAGCATTAAAGAGGCAAAAATTGTTATTTTAGGATAAATGGTGGCAAGTATCGATACGTAAGGCAATTTAAATCAGAGATAAGTTAAGTTTTCTTCTTTGGAATCTTTCCAGATACTTTATTTTATGGTAAACTTTGCGGGGAATCGATCTAACTTTGAAGTAAACTTTTAGAAAATGAAGGAATAGAATATGAACTGGATGTTTTATGAAGGAGTTCGGGAGTTCAGCAGTAGATTTCCCTTTAAATCTGTAAGTATTAAGCTATTAAATGTATAGAATTTAAATATATAAAGCTGGAGCTTGATTTAAAAAAAAAAAACATATATATATATATTTCACTCGAAGTAGAGATAAAAATATATTCACAATTACAGGTTTTAGTACACGAAATGTTCAACTATCTTCGATCCGAATATTGACTGAATGCACGTCATTGTAATGATCTATGATGTGCACTTTTAATATTTCTTAAGCTACATTTTTATAACTGATGGTGGTTTATAAATATAGCTTGTTTTTAAGCTTAAAAGTCGATGAAATGTATCGCATGTTTCAGTTATAATCTCATACTCTATTGATGTACGAGTGTGTGTATATATATATATATATACCTTTAGAATATATGGGTTTATTTACTGAATAAACAAATAACCATTCTCTAATTTGAAAAAGAAAGTATTTCTAGTTATTGTAAAAAGAAATTATTTACGTAATTTTAGAAATATTTTGAATAATTTGTCAAAAATTATTAACGTCACTAGCCTTGAGGCACGAGTAAATTTATTTTGTGTAATGTTTCCAATTTTAAGAGGAAATATTTTTAAAACTTGACGTTTTATTAAGATAACCAGAGATTAGGTAATTTAAATAAAGAAATATGACCAATAAAACGACGACGACAAAGTAATTTGTGGCTCTTTTGGATGCGGAGTAATTTGCTTATTTCGTAATTTTTCTGAATTTATCATCATCTTATAGAGAGAGGGGGGATTTATATATATATATATTTATTATCAACTGCTATCATCTAATAACGTAATAATTATTCTAAAAGCTATTAAACATTTCTTAAATGTTACAATAGTCATTAAAATATCATCAACTCAACAAAATTACTAATTGAAGAGGTCATATTTCTGGATCAATCTCTCCACATGTTATCCATCTGACGATGTACCAATTTAACTTTTTGCATTATTCACAAACGTAACGTTTCAGGTATAAAGTAAATAAAGAAATGGGTCATTCGGTAAAGATATTAAATCAAAATAGTGAGTAAATTTTACAATATGAGACGATTATGGGACATTAAATACCCCCGTTTTCATTCTTTTCAATCGTTAGAATTGGATTTTTTTAACTGAAACAGTATCCCTAACCGATTCCATATTAAAATACTAAAATATTTTCGCCTAGAAGATGGAATTCTTTACTTTACTCTCCCCCTCCACCACTCAACAAGACATCTTAATTGAGAGAAGATAATGAGAAAAAGAAAATGGATGGGATGAAATAAATTGATGCTGTCTGAATTACACGACGAAGGATTTATCATGTTTTCAAATTTATTAAAATTTAGATTAAATCAAGATACTTACCTTTCACATAATCGCATTGTCCAACTGGAGATTATCCAGAGAGAAACCATAAATACTAACAAAACAGTTCCTGGGCATATTGTCATTAAAGTTTTCAATACAAATCTTGTATTAAAATTAATCCTATTCAATGCTCCCATTGTTCTTGACGATGCATCTGTAAATAGCTTACTGTGTAGAAGCATCACTCGACAAATTAAGTATAGGCGAAGGAACATAGGAAGAGAGAGAACTACATCTATAGGCACGTCTTCGGTTCTTGGTTCTCTTCCGTGATTTACCACTTTTATGGTCCAAGTGAATACATATTCTCCTGGAATAGGATGGACGGCACAAATAACTATCTCTAGGAAAATAGTTGACATTCTTTGTGGAGTCATTGCTATCCTCCAATCGTCTGCACAGTTGTCGATCATAAATAACTGGAAAAAAATAAAGAAATATTTTAGTAAATCGCTTTTCTTCCGAAAAATTAAATTTAATCCTTGATTTGATTTGTCGTGACCATTTCTAAAAACGTTTTATTATCTCTTTAGAAAATTAAAATCAATATTTATATCCGCGTTGTATTTAAAATTGGATTTTTTTCGGGGTCGTCCCTCGTTTTCCCCTGTAATACACTCTTCACTGCACGACCTTCTTGCCGTGCGGGAAAGCATCATTAGTTCTTCATTATATTCGATTACAATACAGAACGATCTCATTTAAATGTTAATCCTTTTATGTGCGCATTTAACGTTTTCATTACCAATATTTATTTTGCTGAAACATTAACCTGTTATCCAATTAGAATAGAGAAAAAGAATATTCTTTTTTTCATATAATAAAATTCTCCTTTAGAAATTGCTTTTCTACTGTTGAGCATTCTAGCTTTAACAATATTGGTTTTTATGTATATGTATATACACTATTACGTTATTTTCCGGCAGATGAAACATTAATTTGAATGAATCTCGAGGGAGTACACGTGATAAATATCATATGATACACGAATTTGCGCTCCTAATTGAGATGTTTAAATAATTTATAGGCAATTAATTATGTAAAAATAAACAGTTTAAATACCCAAATTAATTAATTAATTCTCTTTAAAATACATAATTGTAAATTAATGTTCTTTCAGGGACATCTTCACTTGGTAACATCTTAAGAAAATTTCTATAGGGAACAAATGTGTAGATTTATAGCAAGTGAGAAAGGTTTTCCTGTTCCCAAGAAAGCTATTCCCAACATTAGAGTGCATATCCAGGTAATTTGATCAATTTTATTCAATATTTATCCTTTCGAACCTTAAAAAATTAATATAACATTTGATTTAAAAAAAAAAACACATCTTTTAATATAAATATGTGAAAAAATTTAATAAAATTCAAATTAAAAACATCAAGATAAGGTAGAATACAAAATATAAATTTAAATAAAGGCTAGACTTTAAACATAATTTTTTAAAAAGTTAAATTCTTTAATAAAAAATACAAACCGCGCCTGTAAATATGTCTTCTTTGCTATACTTCTAAGTCACGAAGCGAAGCAATTATTTAAGTAAACATCATCCAATAAATATTATCTACGATACGTAAAGTATTTTCTACCCCCTCCCCCTATTATGACGCAAAATTATTCGAATAACCAATTAAATAATTTATTTTATGTAGAAAGGTACAGACGGTTATTGCCTATTTAACAATTTAAACTAAGTTAATTTAATTTACGAAGGCAGAATATTATATTTAATGTCGTTAGTAAATTTTCTTTGGATATATATATATATATATAACATTAAACTTTACATGATTTGTTGAGTGTTTAATAATATATATATATATTTATAACTCGTCTAGTGGACTTTTACTGACAGATGATGTTGTTTTCAACGCTTTAGAACAGCTAAGAAAATTGGAATTTTTAGTTTTTTTTTTACTTCAGAGGATATAAATCCAATTTCTTTCAGGTATTGAAAACTAGTACCGTGTAATCTGGATTATTTGATAAAGTTAAGATCAATATAATCGAATTTATTATCTATATTCTTTTCTATCTTTTTTTTTTACTTTTTCTAAAATATTTTAATTTATATAATTCCGTTTTCTGCTTCTAAATTTGAATATCTAGCGAATTGTTTAGAGAATAATAGAAAACTTTTATCACTCTCTCTCTTCTATTGTAAAACAACAATAAATTGTGCGTATTTTTGAGAGAACGATCTCATCCGATTGTTTAGATTCTTTATTTTTTACCTTCTCCCATTTTTAAATATTAAAGAAAGTCAAATGAAAGTTTTTCTGGAACAGAAATTTTTAATACTCTTTACGCTTCTTCTATTATTACACTTCTTTAAATTTACTAATGCAGTGATGTTTTCCTTTATTCTAAATCCACAGCCGCTTCAATTTTATAACAAAAATGAATTTTCTTTATTTTATTATCCAGAATAATATACAAGGAAGAGAGAAAAAAATCCTTTCTGTATCCTTTTCCACACGTAAGAGAACCATTTAGACAATTACAAACGTCAACAAAGCTAAATAAAGCATGCTAAAAAAAACGAAATCTATACATTTTACTCGACTGAAAACATCAAATACTATACTTAATTAATCGGAAACTACTTAAAAGAACTATAAATATATATATTTTTCATAAATGAAACTCTATCCTACATTGGAAAACTTTTAACGAGAAATTACCTTTCTTATCGATTATCGATCGAAACACGTGATATCCCAATTCACCAATCGATACATTTCAGATTACTTAAAACAGTATAAATATGAATAATTTATTTATAACATAATTCTTATATATTGATATATTCAAAGATAATTGTTACGAGCGCTTTATTTATGTTATTATAAATATCATCACGAATAATTCGTCAAACAATTGAATAGATGATATTATATTATATGAAGAGTTCCTTTGAATGTGCTAAAAATCATAAATTGCATTTTCCCCACAATGCCAACAGTCATAAATATGTATAAAATGAGACTATCCCCTTTATATATCAGTCGTAGACACAAGAATTACTACCTTTACCTCTTTCCAGTACAGTATATTTATACACGAAAACATCTTTCTCTCCCTCCAATTCTTACTTCTTTTTACTAACTCTCCATTATAAACAATCCAAAAAACCAGTTACAAACCACCTACTTTACTTAATATAGTAACTATTAACTTACTTGAACTTCCAAGGCATGATAAGCTCCGATGAGGCAAAGCAGAACCAAAGTTGATACAGTAATCATAGTTTTGATAGAATAGGAATATATAGTTTCCTAGAAAATACATATATAATTAATCTTTAGTTATAAACAATCACATTTAAAAATTATCACCGTTAAAAATAAAGAGCCAAAAGGAAACAAGAGTAAATTGATGTTGAGCCAGTAGGAAAGTAGAATATATTTAGAATTTTCTCAAGTTTAACAAGTCTTTTTTTTTTCTATTTAAATATTAACTCATTACTTAAATTTTTATATATATTATTTAAAGCAGATGCTGCTGCTGTCTTTTAGTGTAATTAATGTTATAAATTTTTCTTAAATATTCGCTCTTTCAGTCTAGAAAAACAAATATTCACCACTTGTAATTAATTCAGAACTATTTATCATTATATGCCACATATTAGACACCGTGTTTAATTACTAAATAACTAAAAGATTTTTACAATTAAAGTTTAAAAAATAATAATAAATTTCAAATTTAAATCGTTTTTCATGTTAAACTTTATATATATTACATTTCTTACAGATCGTTTCTCATATTTGCATACGTGATATGTTATTTAGAGTGGTTAAAATATAGGGATTTACAAAAAAAAACCGATACCAACTTCTACACCATAAGCTGGATTTTTCTATAGGAAAAAAAAACCTACAAATCCTTATTCAAGTCATTTTTCATAGAAGAAAGATCAAAATTCTGACCTCTGCTCTTTACTATAGTAAAGCTATATATCAATATATATATATATATATATAAATAAATAAAAAATATATATATATACATATATATGTATTCCCATTCTCAATACTTTCAATTGCAAATTATATAGTTTATATATTACATACTGAATTCATAAATGAGTTTCAATCATCTACAACTCTTTATTCTCTATATTTAAATATAATTTCCGATTTACAAAGCCATACACAACATGAATAAATACAGAATCATTTATCAAAATAACATACATTTAGCTTGGAAATTTCGAAGTCAAATTATCTACGATTTATTCTAATATTTTTTTTAAAAATAAAATATTCGTAAATAAGTGAATATATTTAAGATTTTTCGACCGATAAAGTATTTAAAAAATCATAAAACACGTAAAAATAATGGAAAAACAAAGCTGTATCGTGCATAGCGCGGGTTATCTGCAAGATAATCTTTACGAGAAAATTTAAAAAAAAAAATATATGATATACGGCAGTAAACGTCAATTAAAAACCGAATTTAATCTGCCCGAAACGTAAATCTGACTAAACAAAATTCGATCTTTCAATTTAAACACGGGGAGAGAGAGCGGCAGATTGAAAGAAGAAGTGAAGTTCCTTCCCCTCCCCTTTTTCCTTTCTATAAAAGTTTGAAAAGATATCACGTGTCCGAAATATGTCAGATATTGTTATAAGTTGTCGGCTACAAATGGATGTTTGTAGAAAAATATTTCTTCTTTTCGAATTTTTGTCACTTTTTTTTCGGGGGTAAGGTTAGTATTTGGATGGCGGCGATGCGTTCTACCGAACGGGAAATAAGTGTGATGAAGTTGGTATTACTTCCTGAAAGAAAGAGATGGTATCCGCCTTTGATTGAACGTCTACTTTCATTCTCTAAGAATATATTTCTTCATAAAAGTAAAGAATAATTGGAAAAATTTAATTGAAATCGCAAAAATGTTTGTTATCGGAGATGTTAGACAAATTCAATAAAATGAACGGGAGAAAAGGCATTGCGATAAATTTAATTAATCAAAATTTGCGTTAAAAAATTCTTATAAAAACTAATATTTTAAATAAATTTAAATCAATTTTTTATATTAAAATGAAGGAGAGAATTTAAATTTTGAAACTTTTCAGTAGTTTTTAGTAGATTTTCTTTTTTTTCCGCTAGGTGGCTAATTAAGTATTTTTAAATTAGCACGTCATAAATTCTGTTTTATTTAAAAAACGAAATTAGTGATAAGTTTAATCAGTCATTAATTTATAAAAATTCTTTTTCTAATTACTTTTTTTATAATAATAATTTATAAATAACATTTTAAAACTGATTAAATTAAACATTTAAATATTTTTGAATAAAGTTTTTCAGTAGTATTAGGGTTTTCCTTTTTTATCCGTTAGGTGGCTTTAATTAAATATATTTAAAATGCTTGACGGCGACTAAGTTTTTTTGTATTATTTATACAAAAATAATTGCTTTCATTTAATCAGATACATTTTAGTTTTATTAGAACAAAAGCACGAAATTATTTATTAAACTGTAATAATTTAACGATTTATAGTTTGGATGGCGTAATTCTATTAATAAAAATTTATGATTATAAGAGTATTCCCATTTTAACCGGCAGGTGATGCTGTTTAAAAATTTAAAAATTTCGTTTAACGGATTATTTCAATTGAGAAGTTTTAAATCTAATTTTGAAATAAATTTAATTTATTTTAAATTGAATATTTTAAAGTTTAATTTAAAAAGAAAATAAATAAATAAATTATAAACTACTTCTTATGGAATTTATGGCTATTTAAACGCCATCCCGATCGGATCATGTGACCGCCGTTTGAAAATTCAAATATGATGACGTCGAGTTTTTTCTTTCTTGTGATTCGTCCTCATTCTTTCAAATTGAATTTTGATAACTTTGGGAAAATTCGGAAAGTTTACGGTTTGTTAATTAATCGGATTAAAATCACATTAAATTTTTACGATTTTTAACTAAAGTATAATTTCAAATTTGAAACTTTATTTGTTCATTGAAGCGCCTTAATGAAGTCGAACTAATGGAATTTCACTTTAAAAAAAAATAAAATAAAATAAAATTTTCTTGTTTTTCTTCATCAATTTAAAGTAATTTAATTGGTATTATTATTATTCTTTTAAATGAGAAAAATATCTTCCAGTTTTTTCCATATTTAAAACCATTTATTTATTCAATTGATCGCGTTTATTATTAATTTGAATATTCAAATTTCTGTCGGCATTCAAGAGTAAATTTTATTGAAATTACTAATGAATATTAATAATAGCTGACTGATAAAATAATTTAATTTTTAAACCGTATTTTACTTTCATAATAGCGCCTCATTTGGGTAACTACAAACAGGATATATCACGTCAGAGGCACATCAAATGAAGACGTGACGTTCCATATGTTTGCCCATCAAATATTTTAAATCTTTTAACATCTTTATCGAATAAATATGCTTTATTCTCAATTTAAAGATTAATTATTGAAGGATTTCTTTAGATTTATTCGCATAAATCCTGAAAATAAACTTGAGATTTGTCGTAAGTTCTAACGGTGCATAACAAGAAATGCTCGCGTTTACTAAAGTAGCTGGCCAACTTGAAGAGAAAAAAATTATTATTATATTCCTTTTACATAAGCAATTACATCTATATAAATTATAGGGTTACAGTGAAAATTTGCCGTAAAAAATGAATTTAAAACACTTATAACCCTGTAATTGAAGTGACATATAAAGACTAGTTATTGCTATAAGCATAAACAAATAACAGTCTCTTCCCCTCCACCAAATAATGAAACGTAAAAAATGTAAGGCCCTAAGCTATAGACTGATAACGCGAGGCCTTACGCTGCTGCTTGTTTATCTAATTCACAAATCTAGTCCTGGGGCGTATAAAGGATGCATTTTCGTTACGTTTGAGTGGTCCATAGCAGCAAGAAGCGGGCCAACACGAAGAGAAAGAAAATTATTATTATACTTTCTAACCTCTGTACAAACAATTTTTCTATAAATTATAGGGTAACAAGGGAAATTTACCGTAAAAATTATCGTAAAGATTATCACGCATTAAATTAATGGGAAAATGTTCAATAATAATGATCAATTTAACATCTGTGTCGAAAATATAAGTTCTATTCTCGATGTAAAGTTTAATAATTAAAGAATATCTTTAGATTTAATTAAATAAATCTCGAAAATAATTTGGTACTTGTCACATAGGAATGTGTAAAGGGTTTATTCTCGTTACGTCCGAGTGGGCCATAGCAAGAAATCCCTAAATCTCTTAAGGTAGTGCGGCCAATTAGAAAAGAAAGTTATTATTATTATTATTATACTCCTCTCTACCCGTACCTAAGCAATTGTATTTCTGTAAATTATCGAGTAACAAAGGAAATTTACCGTAAAAAAATTATTTAAAAAATTACTGATGATTATTACACATTAAATTAATGAGAAAATAAAATTGTTAAGCTATAGAAATTTATATTAATAATAATATTTTGTAAATTTATACATAAATTACTCTATTCTCTAATACTAAAATAATTTATTCAATTTGAATTTATGAAAAAGTTGAGTAAAATATATGTAATAGAGATTTCTATAGTTTAGATAGTATAGATATATAAAACTCTATAATATAGATATCGAGATATCTCTATATTAAAGATAGTCACTAAATACAGTTAGCTAACTATATTGCTTTACTAATAATAGATAGTTACTAGATCCAGTAAAGTGTCGGGAGTTTATAACGAATTTTATAATTTTTAATCACCAAATTGAACGAATTTAAGGTGATATAATCAATATTTATGATCAGTAATTCTCATCCGAAACGTCATTAAAATCTGTTCAGATAAATGACGTATATGGATCCGTTATAATAACTTTTAATTTAAATTATCTTTCAATAAAAATTTCAAGAATTTAGAAGATTAATAAAATTATAATACATTTCAATTATTTACTTTTTAATTTCAATTAATTAAAAAAACATAAATAAAAATACGAAACAATTTAATGACCGTTAAAAACAGATTCAAATTTGAATAAGATAACGTCTGATTGGCTAATTTTTTTAAAAAATCGAATATCGTCATTAACGTGGTTTGCAGTAATTGGATCGTTTGAAATCTAATTATTGAGTATTTGATTGGTTTAGTGGATATTTTAAAATCGAAAATAACGAATCTGTAATTAAAATAAGAAAGACGATTCGTTAATTTTAAAAATTATATTATATAATTTAAAAGAAAGAAAGAAAATAATCGAAGCTAAGTGTCCCTTCTAAATTAATAAGTAATCTTATAGAGGGATAGTGAAAGAGTACATTTACTCTCCATTCACGTCTAGAGGGCAAACTAAATAAAATTAAAGGGATCAACAGTATCCGTGATTGGCAAAGCATCTCACGTCACTTTATTAAAGAAAAAAATGCATAAGAAATTTAAAGAAAATCCAAAATCTCTACCCTCGAATTTTATAACCGATCTGTAAACTAAGTTATCAACCTTCTGGCAACATAACTTTAATTACAAATTTCAAATTTCCGAATTAAGTTATCTCCTTCCTTCCATTCCTCCTTCGAATGCTCCCAAATCGCATATTTACCGTAAATCGAGAATTTAATAATAAAAAAAAGAGGGGCGTGTAGAACGAACGAAATTTTCACCTATTTTTTCCATTAGGAGAATATATAATGATGAAGAGGAGTCTTCCATCAATAGATGGGACCAGATATGAACTACATTCTCTTCATATTCACACCACACATAAAAGTCAAATATCCCCCCTCGATTTTTTCTTAATCAGGGTTTGACAGCAGATAATATCTGACTTGATTTATAAGGTAGCATCTTGATTAAATCTTTAAAAGAAATTTATGAGAGTCGATTTATTNTTTTAATATTTCTTAAGCTACATTTTTATAACTGATGGTGGTTTATAAATATAGCTTGTTTTTAAGCTTAAAAGTCGATGAAATGTATCGCATGTTTCAGTTATAATCTCATACTCTATTGATGTACGAGTGTGTGTATATATATATATATATATACCTTTAGAATATATGGGTTTATTTACTGAATAAACAAATAACCATTCTCTAATTTGAAAAAGAAAGTATTCCTAGTTATTGTAAAAAGAAATTATTTACGTAATTTTAGAAATATTTTGAATAATTTGTCAAAAATTATTAACGTCACTAGCCTTGAGGCACGAGTAAATTTATTTTGTGTAATGTTTCCAATTTTAAGAGGAAATATTTTTAAAACTTGACGTTTTATTAAGATAACCAGAGATTAGGTAATTTAAATAAAGAAATATGACCAATAAAACGACGACGACAAAGTAATTTGTGGCTCTTTTGGATGCGGAGTAATTTGCTTATTTCGTAATTTTTCTGAATTTATCATCATCTTATAGAGAGAGGGGGGATTTATATATATATATTTATTATCAACTGCTATCATCTAATAACGTAATAATTATTCTAAAAGCTATTAAACATTTCTTAAATGTTACAATAGTCATTAAAATATCATCAACTCAACAAAATTACTAATTGAAGAGGTCATATTTCTGGATCAATCTCTCCACATGTTATCCATCTGACGATGTACCAATTTAACTTTTTGCATTATTCACAAACGTAACGTTTCAGGTATAAAGTAAATAAAGAAATGGGTCATTCGGTAAAGATATTAAATCAAAATAGTGAGTAAATTTTACAATACGAGACGATTATGGGACATTTAATACCCCCGTTTTCATTCTTTTCAATCGTTAGAATTGGATTTTTTTAAACTGAAACAGTATCCCTAACCGATTCCATATTAAAATACTAAAATATTTTCGCCTAGAAGATGGAATTCTTTACTTTACTCTCCCCCTCCACCACTCAACAAGACATCTTAATTGAGAGAAGATAATGAGAAAGAGAAAATGGATGGGATGAAATAAATTGATGCTGTCTGAATTACACGACGAAGGATTTATCATGTTTTCAAATTTATTAAAATTTAGATTAAATCAAGATACTTACCTTTCACATAATCGCATTGTCCAACTGGAGATTATCCAGAGAGAAACCATAAATACTAACAAAACAGTTCCTGGGCATATTGTCATTAAAGTTTTCAATACAAATCTTGTATTAAAATTAATCCTATTCAATGCTCCCATTGTTCTTGACGATGCATCTGTAAATAGCTTACTGTGTAGAAGCATCACTCGACAAATTAAGTATAGGCGAAGGAACATAGGAAGAGAGAGAACTACATCTATAGGCACGTCTTCGGTTCTTGGTTCTCTTCCGTGATTTACCACTTTTATGGTCCAAGTGAATACATATTCTCCTGGAATAGGATGGACGGCACAAATAACTATCTCTAGGAAAATAGTTGACATTCTTTGTGGAGTCATTGCTATCCTCCAATCGTCTGCACAGTTGTCGATCATAAATAACTGGAAAAAAATAAAGAAATATTTTAGTAAATCGCTTTTCTTCCGAAAAATTAAATTTAATCCTTGATTTGATTTGTCGTGACCATTTCTAAAAACGTTTTATTATCTCTTTAGAAAATTAAAATCAATATTTATATCCGCGTTGTATTTAAAATTGGATTTTTTTCGGGGTCTTCCCTCGTTTTCCCCTGTAATACACTCTTCACTGCACGACCTTCTTGCCGTGCGGGAAAGCATCATTAGTTCTTCATTATATTCGATTACAATACAGAACGATCTCATTTAAATGTTAATCCTTTTATGTGCGCATTTAACGTTTTCATTACCAATATTTATTTTGCTGAAACATTAACCTGTTATCCAATTAGAATAGAGAAAAAGAATATTCTTTTTTTCATATAATAAAATTCTCCTTTAGAAATTGCTTTTCTACTGTTGAGCATTCTAGCTTTAACAATATTGGTTTTTATGTATATGTATATACACTATTACGTTATTTTCCGGCAGATGAAACATTAATTTGAATGAATCTCGAGGGAGTACACGTGATAAATATCATATGATACACGAATTTGCGCTCCTAATTGAGATGTTTAAATAATTTATAGGCAATTAATTATGTAAAAATAAACAGTTTAAATACCCAAATTAATTAATTAATTCTCTTTAAAATACATAATTGTAAATTTATGTTCTTTCAGGGACATCTTCACTTGGTAACATCTTAAGAAAATTTCTATAGGGAACAAATGTGTAGATTTATAGCAAGTGAGAAAGGTTTTCCTGTTCCCAAGAAAGCTATTCCCAACATTAGAGTGCATATCCAGGTAATTTGATCAATTTTATTCAATATTTATCCTTTCGAACCTTAAAAAATTAATATAACATTTGATTTAAAAAAAAACACATCTTTTAATATAAATATGTGAAAAAATTTAATAAAATTCAAATTAAAAACATCAAGATAAGGTAGAATACAAAATATAAATTTAAATAAAGGCTAGACTTTAAACATAATTTTTTAAAAAGTTAAATTCTTTAATAAAAAATACAAACCGCGCCTGTAAATATGTCTTCTTTGCTATACTTCTAAGTCACGAAGCGAAGCAATTATTTAAGTAAACATCATCCAATAAATATTATCTACGATACGTAAAGTATTTTCTACCCCCTCCCCCTATTATGACGCAAAATTATTCGAATAACCAATTAAATAATTTATTTTATGTAGAAAGGTACAGACGGTTATTGCCTATTTAACAATTTAAACTAAGTTAATTTAATTTACGAAGGCAGAATATTATATTTAATGTCGTTAGTAAATTTTCTTTGGATATATATATATATATATAACATTAAACTTTACATGATTTGTTGAGTGTTTAATAATATATATATATATTTATAACTCGTCTAGTGGACTTTTACTGACAGATGNTAATTTAATTTACGAAGGCAGAATATTATATTTAATGTCGTTAGTAAATTTTCTTTGGATATATATATATATATAACATTAAACTTTACATGATTTGTTGAGTGTTTAATAATATATATATATATTTATAACTCGTCTAGTGGACTTTTACTGACAGATGATGTTGTTTTCAACGCTTTAGAACAGCTAAGAAAATTGGAATTTTTAGTTTTTTTTTTACTTCAGAGGATATAAATCCAATTTCTTTCAGGTATTGAAAACTAGTACCGTGTAATCTGGATTATTTGATAAAGTTAAGATCAATATAATCGAATTTATTATCTATATTCTTTCTCTCTCTTTTTTTTTTTTTACTTTTTCTAAAATATTTTAATTTATATAATTCCGTTTTCTGCTTCTAAATTTGAATATCTAGAGAATTGTTTAGAGAATAATAGAAAACTTTTATCACTCTCTCTCTTCTATTGTAAAACAACAATAAATTGTGCGTATTTTTGAGAGAACGATCTCATCCGATTGTTTAGATTCTTTATTTTTTACCTTCTCCCATTTTTAAATATTAAAGAAAGTCAAATGAAAGTTTTTCTGGAACAGAAATTTTTAATACTCTTTACGCTTCTTCTATTATTACACTTCTTTAAATTTACTAATGCAGTGATGTTTTCCTTTATTCTAAATCCGCTTCAACTTTATAACAAAAATGAATTTCCTTTATTTTATTATCCAGAACAATATACAAGGAAGAGAGAAAAAAAATCCTTTCTGTATCCTTTTCCACACGTAAGAGAACCATTTAGACAATTACAAACGTCAACAAAGCTAAATAAAGCATGCTAAAAAAAACGAAATCTATACATTTTACTCGACTGAAAACATCAAATATTGTACTTAATTAATCGGAAACTACTTAAAAGAACTATAAATATATATATATTTTTCATAAATGAAACTCTATCCTACATTGGAAAACTTTTAACGAGAAATTACCTTTCTTATCGATTATCGATCGAAACACGTGATATCCCAATTCACCAATCGATACATTTCAGATTACTTAAAACAGTATAAATATGAATAATTTATTTATAACATAATTCTTATATATTGATATATTCAAAGATAATTGTTACGAGCGCTTTATTTATGTTATTATAAATATCATCACGAATAATTCGTCAAACAATTGAATAGATGATATTATATTATATGAAGAGTTCCTTTGAATGTGCTGAAAATCATAAATTGCATTTTCCCCACAATGCCAACAGTCATAAATATGTATAAAATGAGACTATCCCCTTTATATATCAGTCGTAGACACAAGAATTACTACCTTTACCTCTTTCCAGTACAGTATATTTATACACGAAAACATCTTTCTCTCCCTCCAATTCTTACTTCTTTTTACTAACTCTCCATTATAAACAATCCAAAAAACCAGTTACAAACCACCTACTTTACTTAATATAGTAACTATTAACTTACTTGAACTTCCAAGGCATGATAAGCTCCGATGAGGCAAAGCAGAACCAAAGTTGATACAGTAATCATAGTTTTGATAGAATAGGAATATATAGTTTCCTAGAAAATACATATATAATTAATCTTTAGTTATAAACAATCACATTTAAAAATTATCACCGTTAAAAATAAAGAGCCAAAAGGAAACAAGAGTAAATTGATGTTGAGCCAGTAGGAAAGTAGAATATATTTAGAATTTTCTCAAGTTTAACAAGTCTTTTTTTTTTCTATTTAAATATTAACTCATTACTTAAATTTTTATATATATTATTTAAAGCAGATGCTGCTGCTGTCTTTTAGTGTAATTAATGTTATAAATTTTTCTTAAATATTCGCTCTTTCAGTCTAGAAAAACAAATATTCACCACTTGTAATTAATTCAGAACTATTTATCATTATATGCCACATATTAGACACCGTGTTTAATTACTAAATAACTAAAAGATTTTTACAATTAAAGTTTAAAAAATAATAATAAATTTCAAATTTAAATCGTTTTTCATGTTAAACTTTATATATATTACATTTCTTACAGATCGTTTCTCATATTTGCATACGTGATATGTTATTTAGAGTGGTTAAAATATAGGGATTTACAAAAAAAAACCGATACCAACTTCTACACCATAAGCTGGATTTTTCTATAGGAAAAAAAAACCTACAAATCCTTATTCAAGTCATTTTTCATAGAAGAAAGATCAAAATTCTGACCTCTGCTCTTTACTATAGTAAAGCTATATATCAATATATATATATATATATATAAATAAATAAAAAATATATATATATACATATATATGTATTCCCATTCTCAATACTTTCAATTGCAAATTATATAGTTTATATATTACATACTGAATTCATAAATGAGTTTCAATCATCTACAACTCTTTATTCTCTATATTTAAATATAATTTCCGATTTACAAAGCCATACACAACATGAATAAATACAGAATCATTTATCAAAATAACATACATTTAGCTTGGAAATTTCGAAGTCAAATTATCTACGATTTATTCTAATATTTTTTTTAAAAATAAAATATTCGTAAATAAGTGAATATATTTAAGATTTTTCGACCGATAAAGTATTTAAAAAATCATAAAACACGTAAAAATAATGGAAAAACAAAGCTGTATCGTGCATAGCGCGGGTTATCTGCAAGATAATCTTTACGAGAAAATTTAAAAAAAAAAATATATGATATACGGCAGTAAACGTCAATTAAAAACCGAATTTAATCTGCCCGAAACGTAAATCTGACTAAACAAAATTCGATCTTTCAATTTAAACACGGGGAGAGAGAGCGGCAGATTGAAAGAAGAAGTGAAGTTCCTTCCCCTCCCCTTTTTCCTTTCTATAAAAGTTTGAAAAGATATCACGTGTCCGAAATATGTCAGATATTGTTATAAGTTGTCGGCTACAAATGGATGTTTGTAGAAAAATATTTCTTCTTTTCGAATTTTTGTCACTTTTTTTTCGGGGGTAAGGTTAGTATTTGGATGGCGGCGATGCGTTCTACCGAACGGGAAATAAGTGTGATGAAGTTGGTATTACTTCCTGAAAGAAAGAGATGGTATCCGCCTTTGATTGAACGTCTACTTTCATTCTCTAAGAATATATTTCTTCATAAAAGTAAAGAATAATTGGAAAAATTTAATTGAAATCGCAAAAATGTTTGTTATCGGAGATGTTAGACAAATTCAATAAAATGAACGGGAGAAAAGGCATTGCGATAAATTTAATTAATCAAAATTTGCGTTAAAAAATTCTTATAAAAACTAATATTTTAAATAAATTTAAATCAATTTTTTATATTAAAATGAAGGAGAGAATTTAAATTTTGAAACTTTTCAGTAGTTTTTAGTAGATTTTCTTTTTTTTCCGCTAGGTGGCTAATTAAGTATTTTTAAATTAGCACGTCATAAATTCTGTTTTATTTAAAAAACGAAATTAGTGATAAGTTTAATCAGTCATTAATTTATAAAAATTCTTTTTCTAATTACTTTTTTTATAATAATAATTTATAAATAACATTTTAAAACTGATTAAATTAAACATTTAAATATTTTTGAATAAAGTTTTTCAGTAGTATTAGGGTTTTCCTTTTTTATCCGTTAGGTGGCTTTAATTAAATATATTTAAAATGCTTGACGGCGACTAAGTTTTTTTGTATTATTTATACAAAAATAATTGCTTTCATTTAATCAGATACATTTTAGTTTTATTAGAACAAAAGCACGAAATTATTTATTAAACTGTAATAATTTAACGATTTATAGTTTGGATGGCGTAATTCTATTAATAAAAATTTATGATTATAAGAGTATTCCCATTTTAACCGGCAGGTGATGCTGTTTAAAAATTTAAAAATTTCCTTTAACGGATTATTTCAATTGAGAAGTTTTAAATCTAATTTTGAAATAAATTTAATTTATTTTAAATTGAATATTTTAAAGTTTAATTTAAAAAGAAAATAAATAAATAAATTATAAACTACTTCTTATGGAATTTATGGCTATTTAAACGCCATCCCGATCGGATCATGTGACCGCCGTTTGAAAATTCAAATATGATGATGTCGAGTTTTTTCTTTCTTGTGATTCGTCCTCATTCTTTCAAATTGAATTTTGATAACTTTGGGAAAATTCGGAAAGTTTACGGTTTGTTAATTAATCGGATTAAAATCACATTAAATTTTTACGATTTTTAACTAAAGTATAATTTCAAATTTGAAACTTTATTTGTTCATTGAAGCGCCTTAATGAAGTCGAACTAATGGAATTTCACTTTAAAAAAAAATAAAATAAAATAAAATTTTCTTGTTTTTCTTCATCAATTTAAAGTAATTTAATTGGTATTATTATTATTCTTTTAAATGAGAAAAATATCTTCCAGTTTTTTCCATATTTAAAACCATTTATTTATTCAATTGATCGCGTTTATTATTAATTTGAATATTCAAATTTCTGTCGGCATTCAAGAGTAAATTTTATTGAAATTACTAATGAATATTAATAATAGCTGACTGATAAAATAATTTAATTTTTAAACCGTATTTTACTTTCATAATAGCGCCTCATTTGGGTAACTACAAACAGGATATATCACGTCAGAGGCACATCAAATGAAGACGTGACGTTCCATATGTTTGCCCATCAAATATTTTAAATCTTTTAACATCTTTATCGAATAAATATGCTTTATTCTCAATTTAAAGATTAATTATTGAAGGATTTCTTTAGATTTATTCGCATAAATCCTGAAAATAAACTTGAGATTTGTCGTAAGTTCTAACGGTGCATAACAAGAAATGCTCGCGTTTACTAAAGTAGCTGGCCAACTTGAAGAGAAAAAAATTATTATTATATTCCTTTTACATAAGCAATTACATCTATATAAATTATAGGGTTACAGTGAAAATTTGCCGTAAAAAATGAATTTAAAACACTTATAACCCTGTAATTGAAGTGACATATAAAGACTAGTTATTGCTATAAGCATAAACAAATAACAGTCTCTTCCCCTCCACCAAATAATGAAACGTAAAAAATGTAAGGCCCTAAGCTATAGACTGATAACGCGAGGCCTTACGCTGCTGCTTGTTTATCTAATTCACAAATCTAGTCCTGGGGCGTATAAAGGATGCATTTTCGTTACGTTTGAGTGGTCCATAGCAGCAAGAAGCGGGCCAACACGAAGAGAAAGAAAATTATTATTATACTTTCTAACCTCTGTACAAACAATTTTTCTATAAATTATAGGGTAACAAGGGAAATTTACCGTAAAAATTATCGTAAAGATTATCACGCATTAAATTAATGGGAAAATGTTCAATAATAATGATCAATTTAACATCTGTGTCGAAAATATAAGTTCTATTCTCGATGTAAAGTTTAATAATTAAAGAATATCTTTAGATTTAATTAAATAAATCTCGAAAATAATTTGGTACTTGTCACATAGGAATGTGTAAAGGGTTTATTCTCGTTACGTCCGAGTGGGCCATAGCAAGAAATCCCTAAATCTCTTAAGGTAGTGCGGCCAATTAGAAAAGAAAGTTATTATTATTATTATTATACTCCTCTCTACCCGTACCTAAGCAATTGTATTTCTGTAAATTATCGAGTAACAAAGGAAATTTACCGTAAAAAAATTATTTAAAAAATTACTGATGATTATTACACATTAAATTAATGAGAAAATAAAATTGTTAAGCTATAGAAATTTATATTAATAATATTTTGTAAATTTATACATAAATTACTCTATTCTCTAATACTAAAATAATTTATTCAATTTGAATTTATGAAAAAGTTGAGTAAAATATATGTAATAGAGATTTCTATAGTTTAGATAGTATAGATATATAAAACTCTATAATATAGATATCGAGATATCTCTATATTAAAGATAGTCACTAAATACAGTTAGCTAACTATATTGCTTTACTAATAATAGATAGTTACTAGATCCAGTAAAGTGTCGGGAGTTTATAACGAATTTTATAATTTTTAATCACCAAATTGAACGAATTTAAGGTGATATAATCAATATTTATGATCAGTAATTCTCATCCGAAACGTCATTAAAATCTGTTCAGATAAATGACGTATATGGATCCGTTATAATAACTTTTAATTTAAATTATCTTTCAATAAAAATTTCAAGAATTTAGAAGATTAATAAAATTATAATACATTTCAATTATTTACTTTTTAATTTCAATTAATTAAAAAAACATAAATAAAAATACGAAACAATTTAATGACCGTTAAAAACAGATTCAAATTTGAATAAGATAACGTCTGATTGGCTAATTTTTTTAAAAAATCGAATATCGTCATTAACGTGGTTTGCAGTAATTGGATCGTTTGAAATCTAATTATTGAGTATTTGATTGGTTTAGTGGATATTTTAAAATCGAAAATAACGAATCTGTAATTAAAATAAGAAAGACGATTCGTTAATTTTAAAAATTATATTATATAATTTAAAAGAAAGAAAGAAAATAATCGAAGCTAAGTGTCCCTTCTAAATTAATAAGTAATCTTATAGAGGGATAGTGAAAGAGTACATTTACTCTCCATTCACGTCTAGAGGGCAAACTAAATAAAATTAAAGGGATCAACAGTATCCGTGATTGGCAAAGCATCTCACGTCACTTTATTAAAGAAAAAAATAAGAAAAAAATGCATAAGAAATTTAAAGAAAATCCAAAATCTCTACCCTCGAATTTTATAACCGATCTGTAAACTAAGTTATCAACCTTCTGGCAACATAACTTTAATTACAAATTTCAAATTTCCGAATTAAGTTATCTCCTTCCTTCCATTCCTCCTTCGAATGCTCCCAAATCGCATATTTACCGTAAATCGAGAATTTAATAATAAAAAAAAGAGGGGCGTGTAGAACGAACGAAATTTTCACCTATTTTTTCCATTAGGAGAATATATAATGATGAAGAGGAGTCTTCCATCAATAGATGGGACCAGATATGAACTACATTCTCTTCATATTCACACCACACATAAAAGTCAAATATCCCCCCTCGATTTTTTCTTAATCAGGGTTTGACAGCAGATAATATCTGACTTGATTTATAAGGTAGCATCTTGATTAAATCTTTAAAAGAAATTTATGAGAGTCGATTTATTTTTTTTCAAATATTTTTATTATTATTATTTTTTTTTATTAAAAAACGATTGCCAAAATTTGTAAGAAGTTTAACGTTAAAAGTTTATGTTGGAAGTTCTTTAAAAGAAACCGTATCAAACCGACGAATCTATGTTTAATTTTAGTGGAAAATATTATTAAAAACTTTAATTTTTTAAATGATTTTTTACTTATTTTATGCAGTTTTATGATTCTAGATTGTAGTTTTTTTACGATTTATCTACACTTTACGTGCTTTAATTATCGTTTAAATTTATAGATTTTTTTTAATTGGAATTTTTTATAAATTGAAAGTAAAGTTTAATCTATAATTCTAATTTATTTAGAAAGCATTTTTATATCTCTAACATTAATTAATTTTTTTAGAATTTCTGTTTAAAATCTATCGATAAAGGAAACCGTACAAAGTTTTAACCAATTGATATCTGGTATCTAACCTCAATTGTGGGGATTTTGCAGATTTGTTTCTTTGCTGTGACATAAATCGAAAAAAGAAAGTCAAAGAAAGAAAAAAAAATTGCAGGCAGGAAAAAGACTCATCAGATGAAAGGCAAACAGAAAAAAATATCCAGCATTTTTTTTTAAAGTTAAGGTTATCATCACAGTATATAACTTACTGTTGTTATTGTTATTATTAAAGGGTAAAAGTGTATCACTTATTAAGCTATTTAGATCAATAATAACATGCGTAGAGTTTGCCTTTGATATCTCAATACAGTGATGATGGCAGGTATTTTGATGAGGGACGTCGTTTAATTGATGACAGTAATTTAAATTAATTTTTTTTTAATAACAAAAGAGTAAAACTTACCTTAAACTGGCGGTTAGCTGCTGATAGCTCGTTCTCTATCACCATTAATATTATACCCAATAATGCTAATACTAGAGCATAGTCACTTATGCGCTTCCTCTTTTCGAAAAGGTTTTTCCTTTTCCCTAAACGGTAACCGACACCCGGTTTCTGAAAACGGTTCGACTTTTCGTCGTTGACGGGATTATATTCCGTGTTACTTGCCATAACTATGCTAGTGTTTTCGCTGTTCATAACTGGTTTCTGCAGCTGTTTAAATGGGCAGATAACACCATTAGCCCTTAGAGAATCGGCAGCAATTGATGCAATTTCTTCGCTTTCCGCACAGTACGAGGGGGTCCTGGACGTGTCCGATCCATGTCTGTACTCTGGCGACGGCCGCTTGCCACTGCCGCTACATAGTTGACAACTTCCGGTAGGTGGAGCCACCAGCGTCGATTCTCCTTCTTGTATATCGGGGCACGACCTGTGGTCGGGGTGGCAACACTGATGCGATGATGGACGATCCGGTTCTGACATCATCCGTCTGATTGTCGTCACCGAATGCTTACGAAAGGTCATAGACGATAATGAGATGTTAGAAGAGCTGTCGTTGTTATCGTTGTCTATATAAGGGCAGTTATGATCCATATGAGGGCAGTGATGATGACGATGACGATGACAATAGGATGGGATACTGGCAAATGGTGTAACCATCGTAACCGACATGGCGATCAGATCTGTAAATTGACTTGGCATCAATAAACGAACACCAAAAAAGAAAATAAGATCAATAATAAAGTTTTATTACTTTTAAACTCTATTTGAACTTAATATTATCACGCGTACAGACAAATAGACGAGAATTCCAAGAAGGGAAACAAGACATCTTTATATAAAATAGGTTTGTGGCAGGAGGTCTTTAAGAAAAAAAAGATACCAAAAAAAAAATCTGGAGATGCGTGATGTCACTTCTGAAGGGCGGTTACTTTGGAGATTGACACGTGGAAGAAACAGAAAAAGGAAATTGTTGTTGCACGACATTTTATTTTTCCATGTAAAACGGAAACACGCAACAGCGTGTTTGTCTACGAGACAATTATTTACAAGTCTTATTCGACTGTTTATCAACGTGACATTCGAACATAGTCGAATTTTTAAAAAAAGGGTGCAACGTATGCGAGGTCGATTCGCACCATACGCATGGCAATCGCGTGCTTTTAACGCGTAAAACAGGTACGAAAACGCCATCTGATACTTTGTAACTCAAAAACTGAGTATAGAAATACAATCTAAACTCTTTTTAACGCGTAAAAGAGTGTAAAAATGAAGTCTACGCGTCGCGATTTGACGCGTAATCGAGATGATATAACAGTACAATACAAGGCGTAAACAGGATATAAAACAAGCTAACGAATAGAATTTCTTGTATCAACATCCTTTAATATTCCTTCCAATCATAACCGTTGTTTTATAGAATGGAAAAAAATATATTTTTCTACGGAAATTAACCCAGCAGATTTTTCTTCCAAGAATCATTACTCTAATGTGTACTATTCCGAGCGCCTACGTAAGCAAAAATTATCACAATAGACAACCCCACGCCATCTAGTATTAAAACTTTAAAGTAAACTTTTGATAAATTTTATAGATAAAGAATAACAGATAAGAATATTAGGTCAGGCGAAAGATAAATGAAAAGAGAAAGACAAACTTGACCCTAAATAGAGGAAGAAGTTTCTATTTTTATTGCTCTGTCATCGGGGATTTCTAACTGTAATGAGAACCGAGCCAAAGAAAATCGTCAGGAGGGATCACGGTATCTTTGTAAAGAGTTCTGTCCAATCAAAGTAAATTAATATCTATTAGGAAAGTATTATTGAAGAAATTATTCTGTAATTATATTTCACAAACTATAATTTATTACAAAGTATATTAAAAAAAATACATTTTCCCCCAGAAGTGTCTTAAAAGTGTCACCTTATATAACGCTTAATTAATGAGGCGTTACTCTCCAAGTTTCATGACGTTTTTACTGAAACTAAACTGTAAATTTAAATTAGAAAACGTTTTAAATATAATTCTTGAATAGTTAAATAATCCATCAACACCATTTTATTAAAAAAAAGAAAAGAAAACGTAAGAAATCGAGTATACGAATTTAATAAATAGCGACTTTAATAAAGCGCGGCGATTTATTTTCGCAAAGATGTAAATCCAAGAGATTTATAAAGAAGGAAAAAAAATAATTTAATTCCTATTCAGTGTAGAAAAGTCTGGAAAAGAAAAATCCCTACTCAATTTTTAATAGAAACAGTTGAGTTTGTAGTACAGTCGAGGTATTTTGCGGCTTCGGGAAGCAGTAGAATTCGAAACATGTATGGCCTCTTTTAACTTTTATTATCTTTTTTTAAAAAAAAATCTGGAATCACAATGCGAAAAAGACGTTTCGAACTTTGATTTGAACGCTTTGCTACTCCAGATTTTAGCTTTAATATAAGAAATTGACCCGGGGTAAAAGTAGAAGTTCTCATCTATACCGAAATGTGTCTAGTGGATATCCGATATCGGGGTTCTTCTTTCTCCTTAAAGATCAATAGAAGGAACCTATAAAGATCGCGTTATCAGTTTAGCGCCTATAAAGTCATTTCTTCTATACTTTTCTATAGAAAATGTAAGAAAAATTTCAACCCTATAACCAACTACAGATTTAAACTTTCTATGAGCGTAAAGTCACTTTTGACGTTTAACTAAGCAAAGCCACTTAATAAAACTAATTCTTTTTAAATATAAATTTTAATTATTAATAAATTTAAAGAAAATTAAATGCATAATTAATGTCGCTACCCTTCATAAAATTTGCTGATTGTGCAGAAAGTAACGTTCTCATCGTTTATTCTCTCGCGATTGGCAACTTTCCAGACTTTTACGCTACACCTGCTCCATCTATCGGAGCGAATACAATTGTTGTTTTCTACCTCATTAGCATGAAACTTTTTCTCTATTCTTTTTCTTCTTCACTTCAATCATTTTTATTCTTAAATACCTTCGTTTGTATATTAATTAGATCACTTGCTAATATTTATTTAATCTCGGGCTTTAATTAATCTCTGGTAATCTCGTCGGCGTTTAAATTAATTAGCAAATAGAATCTGTTAATTAAATCCATTTTCTTAATAGATTTCCACTTAAATTCGTAGAAAATTTAATAAAAATAGTTCCTTCCGTTTTCTTTTTAAACAGCAAAAGTTTTACCTTTTATACGGAATTAAATTTTATTTTCTTTTTTTATTAATTTCTTTTTTTAAAAAATACATTCGAATTTATTTGATTTTTATAAATTTTATTTTATTTTTTAATCATAAAGTCCATTTTAAAAATTCAAACGTAAAATACACTCATTGACAATGGCTAGTTCTAAGTGACATGCTGCTAAGTAAGGAAACCAATGGAGTAATCTGTTTCATATGAAAGGGACAATGTCATTGGTTCGTTTACTTAGCAGCAGCCATTGTTGTGCATGGAGAAGAAAGCGTTGGAATCGAATGAAACTTTATTACTGCGGACGTAACGACCGCGGTAATAAGTTTCAAGTTTATTATCATCGTTATTACACATACAATATAATTTAATAAATAATTTAAAAGGCAGGCGCGTAGCGAAAGCCTTCCAACTCCCACTTACAACCAACCATGCTAACACAATTTAGCGAAAATATATCATTATACAATCAATATAACGAACGAAACAAAATAAGATATGACCCCCTCAAAAACATTATTAATGCTATTTTTTAAACTCCGCTCTACGGGCACTAAAAGGGCCTTTTTTCTAGCCCGATAATGAGTTAGCCAGGCTCACAATGCGGTGGCTGGGTAGTGTGGGATGGGGCACGATGTATCGGGACAGACCACCATCGAAAAATTCCTGGAATTTTTCTACTGCTTCGGGTTCTTCGGAGAGCCTCGGCCATCCCGTCGGCAAATTCCAGGGTATTAATCTTATATAACTGATAAAGAAACGTTATCAAACATATTTGATGATGGCGAACGAGATCTGTGAACATTGTGCAATAACAATTATCCACGTTTTAGATTTAATTATGTGTTCTAAGTGTCCGAAACGTTTTCATTTTGATTGTGCAGATTAATCTGGTATGAACTTCAATAAGTTGAGTAATTGAAATAAGAAGGAATGGAAATGCTGCAGTTGCAAAAAAGATTTAACATTGATGCAATGCGGACAGGAGTGATAGGTGTTGGGGACATTATAGATAAAGCTTAATTAAGAAAGATATGATAATACATGTATATCGTCAAATTAGCTCAACGTCCGTACAGACGTCGAACACTCCCAAATGCAAGGGCGTTCACTAAACAAGATGTATTTTTCATTGATTTGTCTTTCTTAAATGATTACAATATCAAAGCAAAGAAATAGTTTCCTGTGGTACAATTTAAAGAAACATTTAGTATTTTGTAGGACATCCTCTTCTCTGGATACATATTGCGATACAATCGGGCATAGAAGCATACAGGTACCTTATAATATCTGCAACAGATTTGCCCGTAGATATTGCAACTGCCCCTCTAGGTTCCTCAGTCCAAGACTGCAAATACACTCCAAGACTGCAAATATTGGCGTTTCATCTGGTCCAACTTATGCTCGATGGTCGACAAATTTAGAAAATGGATATGCCAAGTAAGTGTGACAATATGATGAAAACATTCACAGGAAACCTAGCTATGGTCTGTCGAGCATTATCTTCTGGGAAATGGATGTTTGCAGACTTCATGAAAGGCATCGCACGCAGTCACAGGATTTTCTGAGCGTACCGCTGTGTCGTCCTCGTAACATTCTAGGAGTGATCGACTGTCATACGAGGCTCCTTAGACCAAATTCCAGCACTGGAACAGACGGATTACTCAACAGTAAAGATTGAAGTGCTCACCAGAGGTTCTCAACACTAAAAACATAATCACGTCTCCAAACAGAATCGGGATTCGTCGGTAAACATAATACTTCGACAATCCGTAACAGTCTGAACTTCATGTCATGGCATCACTGAAAATGTAATCGATGGCGTTGAAGTGCTAATGGCAGGTCGCGTGTATGTAAATTTTCCTTTGCTGGTCGCCTGCAAATGGTATGAGAAGAGACAGGGTTATATAACGAGCTTCTACCTGTCTCTGGATGGCGAAAAGAGACGTTATTGGCACTGTTCTTGCTTCGTCATGATTAAATCATCTTAACCATGTTCATGTCTGTCTTAAACAGATATTATCTCTTGTGACGGTCTATTTAAGGTGTCTAGAGCCTGCCACGTATGCGTGCCCTTACGTATCCCTACCCAAACATCACACAGCACGGCCATCTTTCCCTTCAGTCCGATGCTGCTGTCTTTCCCAAACGTCGTCAGCTGTGTTTAATGTCTGACTGCTTCGTTTAGACATGCCTAGCATTAGAAGACCTCCAAACAGCTGCACTGAAAATTAAGAATACAGTGAACCTCTGCTATCCTTTCTGTAGGATATTGGGACAGCAATTTTAAGGTATCCTGGTGCCTTTATTTGATGTGCAGACTACAACTGTAATCATTAACGAGACAGCTGTACCAGAGATCTACAGCAACATGACAATTCTTTCCGGAGACGTAACTTTTTTGTCAATGAGAGTATATTCATCTTTAGAAATAAACAGATTCAAATTACAGAGAAATAAAGACTTTCTTCATATAAAATACAGATTTTACTGATATGTAGTTGAAATAACGTAAAATTATTGTAATTAAAATTTAATAAACTGGCAGTTTTTTTAAAATATGCATAGATTTTGACAAAAAAAATTCAATAAACCGACATTTTCTAAGTAAGGAAATGAAGAAAGCCAATTTTAAAATTATTTTATATTTATGTAAATACGATCGCGATGACAGCTCGAAGGAAACACAACATCAGAGAGAATTAAACTTCCAGTAATAACCTACAAAGCATAATATTTATATAAAGAGTAGAAACAAAAAGACAACAACAACAAAAAGAATAAGGAACATGTACAAGAAAAAGCCTAAAAATATTTATTTTTCTCAATTTTTTTCATGAAAATGTAAACGTTGTCTTTAGAAAATATCAGTTTATTAAATTTCTATAATTTGGGATCTGAGGAAAGCCAATTTTCAATCTTTAGTATTTATGTAAATACGATTATAATGGCTACAGAGGGAATTGTCTTCAGCTTCCAGCAACACCATAAGAAGTATCACTATATAAACCGAACAACAGGAAAAAGCAGGGGGAAGAAGAGAATAAACAACCTCAAAAAGATCCGTTATAAGTAAATGTATTTTCATAATTTCCTGAATTTTTTTTCTTTCCTTCAATGTATAAAAGTATTTTTTTTTAAATATAAGTTAATTAAATTTCCATAATTAAATAGTCTAAAAAAGGGAGCTAATTTTACGATTTTTACTATTGGTATAAAATTATTACTTTAAGTAAAATTATTTGTTAGAAGTATTATTAATAATATCTAATTAAAAAATAAATTTATTACTATAAAAATTAATTATATATCAATAAAATTTGTATCTTACAATAAAGGAGCTAAGCTAAAAACTTTATTGATTCTAGGATAGTAAAATTTCTATTTTTTGTATTTATAACATACAAATTTTTTATTAATCAAACGTACATTTTCTAGAATAGTCAAGTAAAATGATTAATATAAATTAGTTTAATAAGAAATAGAAATATAAAACACATGTTTCTTATAAAACATGTCAATTTCTTCAAGAAAAATAATAATTGTTACGTAACAAAAGAATTTAAAAAATTTTTCTAGATATTAATTCTATGAAATTTACAAATAAAAGAAAAAAAAAATAATTCTAGAAAAAAATTTTTTTCTAGAAAAAAATTTTTTTCTAGAATTTTTACTATAAATTATTAGCGAAAATGTCCGGGAAAAAAGCTATATTTTTAACTCTGTATAATAAATTAAGAAATTACTAATACAATCTTAAAATTAGTCTGAAAAAAGATAAAAATTGAATAAAAATTACTTAATTTTACGTTTTTAATTACTGATAATATAAGATAAATTAAAACCAAGAAAAGCAATTTTTAATATAAAAATTCAGATTTAAAAAGAAAAATAACATGCAAAAATTCGAATTAGTGAATTAATATTTTCGTCGTAACTTTTAATGTTTTAAGCTTCGCTTAACTTTTAAAAAAAGAGAGATTTCGAGGAATATAAAATAAGATTTTATAGAAAATCGAAGATAAAACATTAACTTATGAAAAAGGACAGTTTTTTTTTCTTTCTTTTTTTGTATTTTTAAATTCGAAAGATACGAACTGAATGCTAATTTTTGTAACTAAACTATAAAATAAGAATTGGTTTATTCTACTTTTATGTTTACCATTCGATATTTAATAAATAATGTTTTTCTTCTTAAATCACGTATTCTAAAGAAAAAGCATTTGCATGTTTATTTAGTCTCATTATTTAATTTCGAACATTTAATATTGTAGGTGCGATTGATGCACGGGATCTTTGCATTCTCATAACTCATAATCTTTCATAACTTTGGTTGTTGCAACTGGTTCTTTGTTTAGATGCTCCCTCAACATGATAGAGCACCCTCACATTTTTCTAGAAGAACACGCATTTTCTTGAATGCCCAATTTGTTCAGCGATGGATTGGACGTTACGGACTCGTTCAATATCCTCTTCGTTCGTTCCACCTCACGTCATTGGATTATATTTTGTGGAATAAGTTAAGGAACAAGTGTTACTAGCAGTTTCGACAACCGAAGAAGACATAAAAGAGAATAAAAATGCCTAAAAGTATATAGAATAACCAGTGTTATGTAATGTAGA